AAAAGCCTTTTTGAGCACGTGTCCGAGTTCACAAACGCGTATGAGTTGTGGACGAAGTTGGAGTCCATGATTCAGAAGAAGACTCTCAAGAATAAAGCATACCTGGTTCACCGACTTGTGAAGCTTGAATACAAGGACGACATGAGCATGATTGAACACCTCAACACCTATAAAAGGTATTGTGAATCAGCTGTCAAAAGCTGAGATGAAAATTGATGATGAGATGCAGGCTTTGTTGCTGTTGAGCTCGCTGCCAGAAAGCTGGGATACTCTGGTGGTGACTTTGAGTAATTCAGCTCCAGAAGAAAAGTTGAAGATGGATGTCGTGGTAGACAGCCTCCTGAGCGAAGAAGTCAGGAGAAGAGAACGAGGTACTCCGAGCACGTCTGAGGCCAATGTTGCTGAAAACAAAGGGAAATCCGACTCCTGGGGTAAAAGTAGGGGTAGAGGTCGTGACAGACGAGAAAAGTCCAGAGGTCGGTCAAAGCCGAAATATGAGTTGAAGTGCTTTTACTGTGGAAAGACATGCCATAAGAAGCCAGACTGTTGGACCCTGCAGAATGATGAGAAGAACGACTCAGTGAAGCCGGATCAGATTATTCCCAAGAAGAGGGAAGATAAGAGCACCACTGCGGTGGCTGCCAACCCGGATGCCGAGATATTCCTCCTAGGTGAGGATAATTATTTGAATGTTGCATATGATGACTGCACCTGGATTGTTGACTTTGGTGCCTCCTTCCACGTTACTCCACACAATGGTTTTTTCTCCTCTTAACGAGGTGGTGATTTTGGAGTCGTGAAGATGGAAAATCAAGTGACCAGCAAGATTGTTGGTGTCGGTGATGTAACTCTGACCACGGATGTCGGATGTCGACTTGTGTTGAAAGATGTAAGACATGTTCCTGACATGCGTTTGAACCTAATCTCGGTAGGAAAACTTGATGATGTCGGGTTAGTGAACTACTTTGGTAGTGTTAGATGGAAGTTGGCCAAGGGAAACTTGGTCGTGGCCCGAGGTAAGAAGGAAGGCTCCTTGTAAGTGATGCAAGGAAAAATCAATGGCGGAGAAGCCAATTCTGTTCGAGATGAACCTAGCTTGGAGCTATGGCACAAGCGCCTCGGCCACATGAGCGAGAAAGGGCTACAGATCCTGAACAAGAAAGGATTATTGACCGGGTTGAAAGGCCAAGCGTTGGAGAGTTGCACGCATTGCCTAGCTAGAAAGCAGCACCGGGTTTCTTTTGTGAGACCGGATCAACCTAGACGACGCAGGTATATTCTTGACCTCGTCCATACTGATGTCTGCTCCATGTCGGAAAGATCCCTTGGAGGAGCTCAGTACTTTGTTTCATTTATTGATGACCATTCCCGCAAAGTGTGGGTATATTTGTTGAAGTCTAAAGACCAGGTACTCCAATCCTTTAAAGAATTCCATGCTATGATTGAAAGGGAGACTGGCAAGAAGTTGAAGGTGGTCCGATCTGATAATGGTGGTGAGTATTGCGGCCCTTTTGATGCATATTGCAGAGCGGCCAGGATTCGACTTGAGAAGACGCCCCCCCAAGACTCCACAGTTGAAGGACTTACTGAGAGGATGAATAGAACTATTGAAGAGAAGGTCCGAAGTATGTTGTCCAATGCCGGATTGCCGAAATCATTCTGGGGAGAAGCCGTCAAAACAGCTGTTGACTTGATCAACCTTTCACCATCACGGCCACTTGAAGGAGAAATTCCAGAAGAGGTCTGGACAGGTCGGAAAGCGGCCTTTAATCAATTGAAAGTGTTTGGATGTCGAGCTTTTGTGCATATCCCTGAAGATGAAAGGGCAAAACTTGATGCGAAGACAAAAGAAAGCATCTATCTTGGTTCGCCGAGATGTGAGTCCGGGTTCCGACTTTGGGATCCAATCAATAAGAAGATCGTGAGAAGCCAAGATGTGATCTTTCATGAAGATGAGAACATTCATGACATCTCGAAACCCAAAGTTCGAGTTATTGTCAGACGCGAAGAACCCATCCCTCCTATCCGAGCTGAAGCAGGGAGAGAAAATCAAGAGAATGAAGGAATTGATGATCAGCAACAAGCTGAAGATGACCAAGACACTGATGTCCGAGTTGATGATGAGATCCGGGATGAGAATGATGAACCGGGTTCTTAAGCTGAAGAACAGCCGAGATATCCAACTCGAGAAAGAAGACCCTCTACAAGATACCCATCTGATGAATACATTGTTGTTGCTGAAGACGGTGAGCCTCAGAGTTATGATAAGGCTGTGATGAGCTCAGAGAAAGAAGAATGGGAAAAGGCAATGCAAGACGAGATGAAGTCTCTGCACGAGAATCAGACTTATGAGCTGACCGAGTTGCCAGAAGGAAGACGAGCTTTGAAAAATAAATGGGTCTACAAGATTAAGAATGAAGAGAACGGGCAGAAGCCGAGATACAAAGCCTGGATTGTAGTGAAAGGCTGCAATCAGAAAAAATGAGTTGATTTTGAGGAGATTTTTTCTCCTATGGTGAAAATGACCTCGGTCCGAACCGTGTTAGCCAAGGCGGCTTCGATGGACCTTGAGGTAGAACAAATGGACGTGAAAACGGCATTTCTTCACGGTGACTTAGAAGAAGAAATATATATGGAGCAACCTGAAGGATTCCAAGCTCCAGACCCAGATGACTCGGTATGTCGGTTGAAGAAGAGCCTCTATGGCTTGAAGCAAGCACCTCAGCAGTGGTACAAGAAGTTTGAATCATTCATGACTGATCATAAGTTTGAGAAGACTGAAGCCGACCACTGCGTATTTGTGAAGAGGTATGAGGCAGGAGACTTTATGATTTTGTTGTTATATGTTGACGACATGCTTATTGTAGGAAAATACAAATCGAGGATAGCCGCCCCGAAGAAGGCGTTGAGCTCGTCCTTCGCAATGAAGGACCTCGGCCCTGCAAAGCAAATTCTCGGAATCAAGATTATTCGAGATAGACAAAAGAAGCTACTGTGGCTGAGTCAAGAGAAATATATTGAGAAGATTCTGAAGAGATTCAGCATGGACAAAGCCAAAACAGTGAGCACCCCCCTTGTCTGACACATAAAGCTGAACCAGAAGCAATGTCCGAGATCTGATGAAGACAAAGATAAGATGATGAAGGTCCCTTACCAATCCGCCGTCGGAAGCTTGATGTATGCAATGGTTTGCACTAGACCCGACTTGGCGTATGCTGTTGGAATGGTAAGCTGGTATTTGTCAAACCCCGACAAAAAGCACTGGGAAGCAGTGAAGTGGATCTTCAAGTACCTCCGAGGTACGACCGACTTATGTCTCCGATTTGGAGAAGGCAAAGCCGAGTTGCAAGGCTACTCAGATTCTGATTTAGGGGCAGACGCTGACTCGAGGTAGTCGACTACAAGATATTTGATGAGATTTGCCGGAGGAGTTGTCTCTTGGCAATCAAGACTTCAGAAATATGTTGCACTGTCTACAACAGAAGCTGAGTACATTGCCGCTACTAAGGCAAGCAAAGAGATGCTGTGGATGAAGAAGTTCCTCACGGAACTCGGCCATGATCAAGACAAGTACGAGCTGGGTTGTGACAATCAAAGTGTAATCCATCTTGCGAAGAATTCAACCTATCACTCCCGCACTAAGCATATTGATGTAAGGTATCACTGGATCCGGGATGTGGTGGAAGGTGGAGAGCTCGAACTCGTCAAGGTGCACACTGACCAAAATTGGTCCGACATGATGACAAAGCCGGTTCCAGCAAGGAAATTTGAAGACTGCTGTGAAGGAGCCGGGTTGATGCTGAAGTCGACGCATTGAAGTCGAAGGGGGAGATTTGTTGGGCTTTCTCCTTCAATGCTAAGCCCAAGCCCATTGAGGGGTTTCCTAAAAACCCTAACCCTAGATCTTACCTCCTCTATATATTCATTAGTTGTGGGTGGAGGCTAGGTTAAGAGATTAGAGAGAAAATTTGAGAGATAATTATTTGATTGTTTGAGCAAAGTTTTATGCTTTGCATTTGAGAGATCTCTAGAGAGAGTTTGAGTGAAACATCTCTAGGGAGGTTTGATTATCACCATTGTTGGAGAGATTGAGTTAACCACCACATTGGTGATTCTGATTAATTGTAACCATTATTTTCAGAGTGGATTTCTGATCTGGACTAGGTCTCATGGGTTTTTATTTCTTCATTGAAGAAGGTTTTTCCACGTTAAATCTGGTTGTGTTCTTCTTCTCTCTCTCATATTTTACGTTTTTGATTTTTCCGCTGCGCTGCCTGACCTGGTGAAGTTCAGGCCAAGGTATTGCCGAGATCCGAGATCAGGATCTTGTTGATTGACTTCCGCACAAAGATCCCTGAGCCGAGTTTGAGGGAACCGAGTTTTCCCAACACAAAACAACTCCAAACATCCTTCACTCCACGAATTACTGCAGACAAACCACTCACTCAATTGCTCCCAAATTTTTATACCATGTACTAGACACCTCTAGCTTGAATTTGATATTCATACACTTAATTTGACCAAGAAACGAAATGAGAATAAAAATCCAGAAAACTGCCAGAAACAGCCCCTGCATAGGTGCGTTCTGGACAGTCCATGTTCACAGGTTTCTACAGAGCTGCGTGCAACCCAGAAATTCCTCAGATTTTAACATCGTGTAGGGGACATCTCAATATTTAAAATGGTGTATGGCACGTCCCTATCGGACCTCTGTGGAGGGAGATATGCTCTCCCGAAGTTCGTCTAAATTCTGCCAATTCTACAGAAAATTCGCCAGAGTTTCCTTTGTTTTTCCTAAAATCCCCAATTTGTAATTGCTTTCTAATACCTCAAATGTACCTAATAACCAATTGGTGGCACACACAAGGACCAACAATGCCTTGGGGGCACTAACAACCCAACTCAGTTTATAGTTATTACACAATTTATACGATATAGCTCACTTTATAAATCCTTAACTTGTTTCAATCACCAATGTCCATTTACATGCAATTTCTCAACATACAATTAATTATAATCCTAAAATAGGCCTAAAGCCCTTCCATCATATTACATCATGTATCCATTGTACAATTACAACATTTCACTTACATATTACAACTTACAACTTCATACTTTAATTACAACTTGAAACATAAAGCTTGAAAGACATATACAACTAACTAGACTTAGGCAAAATGACATGAACAAATATGACTATGAAACTCATCCTACATACATATGGGATGTTCATGCCGTAAGTCTAGCCTAGGCCAAATGGCCATCAAAATGCAAAAGTGCAAGTCCTCCAATGACTCATCCTACGGGGTTCTTGCTCGCCGCTCCTGTACCATTGCTACCTCCTGAAATAAAGCCCCCAAGACGGGGGGAGATATACGAATATATTTCAGTAACCCAGAGGTTCTGGAGAAAACTCTGCCCAATGGCTCACTTCGATGCATATAAATAATATAAAATAACCACTTTTCAAAACGGGATAAAGCAAGAGATTTAGAGAAACTGGGGAATATAGGAATACAAAATACGACGAAGCGGGAATGGTAGCTACCAATACCACGCAACGTCCTCGGCATATAAGCCTATGGGTCTCATCCAAGGCGTGTTCCTAGAACATCAACCAAGGTCCCCCTCCCATCCGCATACACCCGAGACTTCCTAGTGTGCTCCTATCCGGATCACACACCACGACCCTGGGTCAACTGAAACTCCCTCTCGGAGACCTACCCAGTGGAAGTCTGAAACGCCCAAAGGCAAAAACTGTCTACTGGCCAGAGACTCGGTACATATGTACCCTCATAAATACTCATACATGCTCATGTCATTCTACACTACTCATATACATTTCCTACCATCACCCTCAACGGGTATGGTGGAACACACAAGGGGAACAAGCCCCAGTACCAAGAGGTTACCTGTAAAAAGCTCAATTCCAAGCTTGCTTGAATTTCACGTATTTAATCCAATGCCTTTAAACTTGTTCTTCAACCTATGTACCATCAAATTACGTTATATCAATTCATGCCACCACACAAGTCAAAGACAATTACCCCAATGTTTTCAAGATTTAATACATATTAACACATCTTTCAAAACCACAAGTTAATACAAGTTTCCAAACTAACCATCTATATAGCATATACTTGAATTTACTTGCTAAATGTAATCAAACACTTATGTGAATTTACTTTCATTCCTAGGTCAATTAATCCTATAGTGGCCGAATTGCACCACTTAGAAAATCCAAGAATTTGACTTGTTTTCCTATTCATATACCTTAGTTAATTCCTTGTTTGATCACTAAGTAGTCTTATATAAATTAGTACATAACTTTTTCATCAAAACTCTAACATAAACATAGTCTCATCCTAGACTTAATTAAGATTTCACACTTTATCTTTGGTTCAAATACTAGCCAATCATCATTAAATGTCCTAAGGATCCTTGTTTTACATTACCAATGAATTAAACACTTAATTTACACAATTAATTCTAAAGGGCCGAAAAACACACACTTTTTACAGCATCAACATTCTGTGCCATTTTAATCACGAAAATTCATCTTAACTCAGATTCCCTTGAATTTTTGATATGTTATAGTAGACACTTAAGGCTTTAATTTGGAGCAAACCACACTCCATTTGGAGTCCTGTAGCTTCAGATATGAATTTTTTAATATAACAGCCCCTATGTTGATCCTAAAAGGTCTATAAGGTTCTTTTGAAAATCCTATACTTCATTCTTTTTACAAACAACTCTAAATCATATTACACTTATATTTCCACATACAAACTTGATTAAACACATCCTTTAACTATTTTATCACATGATGACCGATTTGCCTAGCTTAAGGTTTAATGAATTCTCTTTCAATTTTTCTATCACTTGAACCTTCATCAATGCATATACTATCTTTTTTTCTTTTTTTTTTTGGAAATAATAGGAAATTAAAACAAAAAGAAACTAGGCACAAAGCCTAGACCAGTGAACACCTATAGTGTCACCATACAAACTATCAATACAACCTGACGGTGGACAATCAAATTCCTGAATTACCCAAGAGAAACCATAAGAGTAAGAGGCTAGAAAGTCCGCTACTCTATTTCCTTCACGGTGAATGTGAGACAATCAAACTATCTTTTATTTCATTTAGACATATTATCAAACACTTGGTGTGCATATTTTTACACACAAAATCTAAACCATATAGAGTTCATTAAATTCATCCGTTTTGTGATTTCAATTTCTTTTTGTAGTAGAGAAAGCCAATCCATCACAACAACTCATTAACCAACTTAAACATCAATAAAACCACTTAAATTCATCATCAAACCAACATTAAAAATATCACCATAAACAGCCCCAATTTCATAAAACCTAACATAAAATCCATGAAATTAATCAAGGAAAGATAGTTTAATCACCTTTTAATGCTTCTAGGAGACTAATTCATCAACTTCTCATCAAAAGGACATGAAAACACATCATTTAACCAAGAGGGCAGCTGCGGGTCGCTGGACATATGGAGGAAGAACTCATCATATAAAGCTCCTAAGGATGAACAAGTTGGTAGGTTAGGTTCCTTAGGTTACTAGCTTGAAGTTTTGTGAAGACATTTATGGAATAAAATGATTAGAAAACATGTTGCTAAGCTTCTCTTGCTCACAAGGTGCACACGGTTTTGGAGGAGGAAAGAGTGCAGGTTCGTGTGCCTTAAAAAGAAGAACAACCGCCTTATACAATTGGAAATCACTAAAGACACTAATCTTGACTTTCTTGTCTTTAACTTGAATCTTATTGGCCAATCCTTTTCCAACTTTTTAAATTCATCTTATTGACTCCCTTAGAAGAAGCATGCAGCGTATAATACAAAGAAAAAAAATAGAAGAACCAACTTTAAAGAAAGAAATAATCTATCTTACTTAAATTAATCAACTTTGACATTCCTTAATTCAAAATAAATCCTGTTGGTCTATAATTAATCCAACCTTGACCTAATTAATTAATTATTCTAATCACAATTAGAACTACCTAAGAATACCTTTAGTCTATAGTTTTTTTCCGAACAATTTAATTATACAATCAAATACAAATTTAAAACTAGTTTAATTAACTTTTTAACACGCATTGACTAATGTTAATTCTAATTGCTTAATTTCAATTAAAATGTGACCTATTTTTCAGGATTTTCATAATTCTTCCCTTTAATCCAATATTAATATATTAATATGTAATTTAGAAGTGTGAGGTGTTATATTACACTTGTGATGCCTGGCAACTTGCAAGGATTAACGACTGTCCCCACACACTAACACGAGACTTTTCAGTATACTTTTTCCTCACTCGCACACTTCCCGGGAAAACTTCCCAGGAGGTCACCCATCCTAGAATTGCTCCAAGTCAAGCACACTAAACTATGGAGTTCTTCCGTTCCGAGCTACCGAAAAGTAGATGCATCTTGTTAGTATAGGTAGTACCAATTAATTCTTATAAGCCATTCCCAACTGTACCGTCCCATACCAGCACAATCTCTGGAATCCCTCTCTTTCGGGTGTTGATTCGATTCATTCAAGTACATCCGTCCCTAGAAGCCTGCCAGGAGCCGCTCCTTGTCCATGTTCCTTCGCATCGGCGATCACTCCTCGCCCTCGTCAGCGCCCAGGATGTTACAGTTATCATTTTTGAAATTGCTGGACATCCAGCTAGGAATTATAATTATACATGGGTGGGTAAAAGCATTAAATACAGGGAATAAATGAGAATCAACGATCAGGATTACTAGCTGGGACGTCCAGCAACTTGAGAAATAATTTCAATATATATATATATATATATATATATATATATGGTAAAATCATTTCTGCATCTGTTTTACGTACAGCAACGACAGGTGTATGATTATAATTCTCTACATTTAATGCTTTCATCCTTTGTATGATTATGATTCCCCGCATTTAATACTTTCAATGGCAAGTATTTGATTGCTGCACGTACAGCAGCTACAGAAATGTAAACCCCTATATATATATATATTTATATATATAGGATGTCAAGTCACTTAATATAAGGATTTGTCTAGTCAGGGAATCATAACCATAGAAAGGTGGATCAATGATGATAAAGGAAGAGAGAAAAATATAATATTCATTTCCGATCAATTAAATAAGGAAAGTAAATATCCAAAATGACATAGTTTTGGGTGACACATCAGTCAAGTGACATGGCAAATAATTAATCCACACACACACACACATATATATATATATGAGAGGTTATACTTACAACTTCTTACAAACACTTTTATGGTTGTTGGATCAAAATCAAATCAACGGTTACAAAATGACATTAAATGAGAGTCGTTGATTTAATTTTTATCCAACTATCATAAAAGTTGTTGTAAGAAGTGGTAAAGAAAAATAGGTTGTAAATATAACCTATATATATATATATATATATATATATATATATATATATATATATATATATATATATATATATAGGGAAAAATATTTCTACAGCCACTTTAGATAAAGTTGTCTACAGCTACCCCTTTTTAACTAAGTATGACCGGTCATACATTGAAATTACATTTTCTCTCTCCGCCACGTCAGCCGACAGTGTCTGAGGAAAGAGAAAAAAAGAACCGCTTTATTGTTATAACTAAGTATGAATGGTCATACTTAGTTAAAAAAGGGTAGCTGTAGATAACCTTATCTAAAGTGGCTGTAGAAATATATTTTTTCATATATATATATATATATATATATATATATATATAAGATGTAATAACTCAAATAATTAAGCGACATTAATTGAGGATTAATGTATAATTAAAAGGGGTTAATCAGTTGAAAAAATCAAATGTTGAGTTTATACACTTTTCAGGGTTAAAGTGCAAATAATAAAAGTGTTGTAGTAAAAATGTGATAATGCAAAGTAGGTGAGTCCCAAAAATAAATTAAATGAGTCACACTTTAATTAAACTCAAATGGCCCAAAATCATAAAATTATGAGGTTTAAGCGGATACTAGTACGAGCAGAGGTGTAAGGAAGGGTAGGATGGTATTTTTCCATTAAAGATATTTTCTAACACAAGGTTTCTTTTTCATTCCTCTCATCCTTCTCATTCACACTTCCTTTCCTTTTCCCTCTCAAAATTTCATCATTTCCCTTATCGTTTTCTCCCTACAAGATTCGACCAAGAGAGGAAAGGATAGTGTGAGTGTGAATTTCATCTCCTTCTTCATTCTTGTACGTGACCTTGGTGGAAGCAAAAACCCATTCTTGTTCTTTATGAGGTTGGGGCGCTATTTCTTTTGGAGAACTACAAGGAGAGGAGTTTGTTCCAATTGAAGCTTGGAGCTTCACATTGACATGCTTGAGAGATTGGATGTAAGAGTCATGAGCTTCTCTTTGAGTTTTCTTGGGCATTCATGGAAGTTCCTTAACCTAAGTTTGCTAAAGTTTGGGAGTTACGAAATGTGAGTGTTAATGTTGAAATTAATACATGTTCTGTATATATTTGAGGTTTGTTTAATTGGTGAGATTGATGGTATAGCCTACTAGGTAATTGAAGGGGTTTATGTTCTTGAAAGAGGCTTAAGAAATCTATTAGAACCCTTCAAGTACGAAATTAGTGTGCTAAGAATAATTTCCCTCTGTTTGAGTGGTCTGCAACATGCTTAGGGGTGCTAAAAAATGCTATAGGACAGTAAGCACCCGTTTGAAAGAACTATGGCACACTAAATTTGTGAAAAATACATGTTGAGTGCGCTTTAGCACGCTATTAGGTGCTAAAGCGTGCTAGGCAGGAATATGCTATAATAAAATGGACATAACTTGAGCTATAGAGCTCCAAATTAAGTAAAGTTTGAACTTATGTAAATCTAACTAAAGATCTACAACTCTACAAAATCTTAGTACCATTGGATATATGGATTAATCTCAGTTCTATTTTTAAGTTGTTGCCTTATTTGCAAAAGTTCGATTCGAAATTGTTGTCTTGCGACAGACATTTCTCGAGATTTATAAAATCCAATTGAGACTTATAATATGTCTTTAGAAAGCTTGAGATGTCTAGTTTAACATAGCAATTAAAAAATTAGATACCAATGGATGTAAAATGAACTTATATGTAAAATGATTGTTATAGATTAATTATTTTCCTTTGGTAGTCTATTGTTAGTGGAATTAATGTGTGGCTTGTGGAACAAAGGGAAAGGAGCTTTGGACGCTTAACACTAGGAGGTAAACTCTTAAACCTTTGGATTAGTCCCCTTTGATGTTTCACCATACTCTATTGGGAGTAATAATTTATATGGATTGATGTGCATTATGTATTAGAATAAGTAATAATGCATGATATGAGAAAATATGTTTGTGTATAAATGCATGATTGAGAAGGTTCCCTTGCCAGGAGAATATATGTGCATGGACTTCCCTTGGAACCAGTTTCGTAGAGTAATTCCTTGTGGTCAAAATCTTAGAGGAGGAGCCCGTACGGTCTTCTCTCGTAAGTTCCATGTGAGCCCTGTGAAGTGTCAAATATATCATGTCTTTAGGACCAAAAATATGCTAAATAATGCTTAATACGGTAAAAAACATGGTAAATATTATTAGATGCAAAAGACTTCTCTAATTTTCGTACTTGGTAAGATACTAACTGAAAAATGTATCGATTTCAGGTTAAAATTGCTATATTAGAGCATTGATAGATCAAGGAAAGTGGAGGAAGACAAGACCCAAGCCAATCGAAAGCCAAAGGAGTGTTATTTCACGTATAAGCTTGCTGAGTTGCTCGCTATAGCGAGGCACTCAGTGAGAAGACATCAAAGACGTGCTAATTTTCAGCCTTACTCGCTGGCTTGCTCGCTTCCAGCAAGCATGCTATTTTTCCTCGCTATGATGCTCGCTATAATGAGCAATCTAGCGAGCAGCATTCCTATAGAATGTTATTTTCAGTATTCTCCTCACTGGTTTGCTCACTTCAACGAGCAAACACAGTGTGCATCTCGTAAGAAAGGCCCATGGATGTTTTTATTAAAAAAGGAAAGAAAGAGGTCAATTGAGAAGGATATTTTCTATGATCTGGATAGAGGAAAACTTTATTCTTGGATCGGAAAGTCGAGGTGAGGGTCAAAGCTTCACTGTGGAGATCGACGATTGAGTTTTTTTTTTCTCTAGTTTTTCATCTATTGTCTTAGTTTTCCTGACAATGTCAGGCTATATTTCTCTTGTAGTTAGGGATAGAGGGAATTTTTTGAGTCTTGATTTCATTTACTTTTTCATTTCAGTTTAATATTTAAACTTTCATGTTGTGCAATTATTCTGCGTTTCTTTCTTAGTTCTTTTTTGAATTGATCACTCATAGAAGGATATTTGAGTTTTGCATGACAATAGGGATGTTAGTGTGAAATTCTGATTTGAACAATTGCTAGGCTTTGTTTGATCTAGGGATAGACTAATAGAGCTTATGATTTTGTGTATTCATCGTTTTTAATGCTTGCCATAAGCAAAATTACTAAGGGATTAGGATTCTTAATAGGTCAAAGAATTGAAATACCAAGGGGTTGAGTTTTAATTAATTTGTGATGAAATTTTCAATAACATGAGTTTGAATGTTAATTGTAGGAACGAGTATGAAGAGATTAGGGAAATCGAAACCTTATCTACGCTTTTGCATAATTAAATTTTTTTCCCATTTT